TCAAGGCTATGGTTTTTCCAGTAGTCATGTATGGATGTGAGAGTTGGACTGTGAAGAAGGCTGAGCACCAAAGAATTGATCCTTTTGAACTATGGTGTTGGAGAAGACTCCTGATGGTCCCTTGGACTGCAAGGAGATCCAAGCAGTCCATCCTAAAGGAGATCAGTCGGGGGTTCAATGGACGGACTGATGCTGAAGGTGAAACTGCAATACTTTGGCCTCATGAGAAGAGATGATTCATAGGAAAAGACCCTGATGGTGGGAGGAATTGGGGGCAGGAGGAGAAGGGGACGACAGAGGATGAGATGGCTGGATGGCATCACTGACTCGATGGGCATGGGTTTGTGTAGACTCCAGGAAGTGGTGATGGATAGGGAGGCCTGACGTGCTGCGATTCATTAGAGTCGGACACGACTGAGCAACTGAACTGAACTGAATGCAGATGGGGTGGGGGACTTTTGTCCTTTCTTCCTCCTTGAGAATTCCAGATCCCTCTCTCCTTGGGGACCCCCAGACTTCCTATCAACCTGCCTAGATACTGACGCGCTCATGCCTTCCTTTTCTTTTAGGAGAATTATGCTTCCAAGGGAAAAGGACATTGTTTTCGTTCCATAACTACTTCTGCTGTTTAGGGGCATGGTCCCTAAATTGTTGAGATAACATATTCTCAGTTAAGTAGAAACTCTAATATACTTTTCTGCTGCCGCTAAGTCACATCAGTCGTGTCCGGCTCTGTGCGACCCCATAGACAGCAGCCCACCAGGCTCCCCATCCCTGAGATTCTCTAGGTAATAACACTAGAGTGGGCTGCCATTTCCCCCTCCAATGCGAGAAAGTGAAGTCACTCAGTCGTGTCCGACTCTAATGAACCATATGGACTGCAGCCTACCAGGCTCCTCCATCCATGGGATTTTCCAGGTAAGAGTACTGGAGTGGAGTGCCATTGCCTTCTCTGATATACTTTTCTGGGTCCTCTAAATAGTCTCCCAGGTCCTCCTTGATTCTTTATATTTCTTGATAAGAAAAGGGCTTATTAATTCTCATAGACTGATTATTTCTCCCAATGGGTGCTTCATGAAGAGGCAACAGCTTGTGTGGCTGTCCTCACCCTCTCTGGCTGCTCTGTGCATACGATCCCAGGGATAGATTGGAGAAACCTGCTTTTTTTGATCTGTTCCTTGTCCTCGATCTCATCCTGTATTTCACCCTTACTTTTTGCTGCCTGAGGTTCTCTTACTTTGGTGGTCTGAGTTTCTATTGAAACCAGAGCAGTCTGAAGTTGTACTGGGATAGGAGTTGTTTGGACCTCTACTTGGGCCGTTTGAACCTCAGTTTGGGTTTTTGCTGAGACCAAGGTGAACCTTCCTGGGGTGGGGGGTGTGGGGCGGTTCCCTGACTTTCAGTTTGCTCAGGTGGGAGTCCTGGGTATGGGGGCAAAGTAGGAGGACAGGAGGGAGCTGAAGGTTTCACAGTCAAATCTATTCTCTTAGGACATAAGTCCGGCATACCTCACAGTGAGAAAAAGGGCAACACATATGCTACTTCTACCCATTTCCCCTGTTTTCTACAGAACCGGTCTAATTGTAAAACAGTACTATAATTAAGAGACCCTCCAACCGGACACCGATTGCCATCCTCCAACTATTCTGTGGCCATGCACTATCACATAGCAAGATCAGGCGTGTCTTCTTTAAGCCCTGGGGATCAAATCTATCCCAGCTTTTCAGGATACAGTTCAAAAGAGTGAGGCTGCGATAGTTAGCTCCCATCTGTAAGAGAGAAAAAAAGTGACCGGCGCCATCTTTCTACCAGAGGCGTCACTCCCTGCTCTAGATCGGGGTGTAGACAGACTTTACTCCAAAGCTTTCCTTCCTTGGTCGGACCTAGTCTGTCCCTTACCGATGCAGGCATCACACTCATCCCTCCCGGTTTTACCACAGAGACGGGGTGGAGATGCACCCGGGGCAGACGATGGCATCCCTGACTGACGTCCAGCTTCTCGCCATTAAAACCTTGCTTGCCTCTGATACCACCTGGGGTGCCATCAGAGGAACCTTCCAGAATACCTCCCAATCTAACATCTCTGGGAGAAACTTTCGTCACCTGAGTGTGTGTGCATAACCCTGACTATATTCCTGACCACAGTAAGACTGGTACAAACATAAAACTGAGATGTTCCTTCCAAGCACCACCGCACCAGTGTAAGCGATAGCAAAAGAGATGGTGAAGGGCTCGCCGGTGAGGAAAAAGTGATTTTTGTTCTTGAGTTATTAGGGCCAGTCCTTCCAGCTCATTCCGATTCCACAGAAAGAACAAGGAGCTGGGACAAAAGCTCCTGGAAAGCGGCCTCTGGTCCACTAAGAGCTAGTGTTACCACAGGAAGAAACCCATTGCACTTCCAATCTGAGTAACCGTTATCCTCAGAGATACTCTTGGAGCTAGAGCTCCATCTAGCTTCCTGACTTCCCATACCTAGTGAAGCTAGGCGCTTCCCGACTACCAATCCAAGTGGGGGAGCGAAGTAACACCACACAGTAACAGCATAGATCACAAGTCCCTTGAAAGTCTAGGATTTGACAGATAGGTTAATAGTTCTAATTCCCAAGAAGTCATTAAATGGTCAAAGAGACTGGAAAGTTTGACCGAGAAAGGAGAGTTCGGTCCACACGCTTGCCCATTTCTAGTCAGTGCCCGAAAGAGACATTGGCTGCCTCTTGTCATTGGCAGGTCGGTATAAACCCCCAACAGGTTTCTGCCCTAAGGCATATGAGGTCACCGAGGGTCCGCAGAGCAGGCCTCCTCGCTTGCTTCATGCAGGGAATCTCGTTCATTCACACAAGCACACTGCAGAGTTAGTGAAGTGTAGCAGAAACGTGTTCACTGGACTACAAACAACCAGCTCTCCAAGCATCCTCACCTTGTCCTGAAGAATCCCAGATGAGCGCCCAAGATGAAAGACTGCTGCGGAACCATGAAAGACGCCTGGATTCTTGGCCTCCTGAGGAGAAGAATTCAATCCAGGGCCAGAGACGAGGCTTAATAGTTCAGAGCTTTTGTGTAACAGTTTTCTTAAAGTATAAAAGAGATAGAGAAAACTTTTGACATAGACATCAGAAGGGGCAGAAAGAATGCACCCTCACTAGTGTTAGCAAAGGAGTTATATACTTTTAATTAGTTATTACAGTGAATCAAAAGAATTTCTGAAGGTTGTAAAGACCTCACTAGATCCACTCCAATAATTTACCTTTAAAGATCACATTATTCTCCAGAATTTTTTTTTTTTTTCCAGAGACTGTTATCAAGCAGGATACATTATTGTAGAGGCAAAAAGAAAAACCCTTTTTCTTTCAAGAATTCCAGATCCCTCTCTCCGTGAGGACCCCGGACTTATCAACCTCCCTAGAAACTGACTCTCTCAGTGTGATTGAAGGGGGCCTGTGAATAGACGCTGGGGTTCAGCAAGACTGCTGATCTCAAGGAAGTTGTTCATCTAGAGCAGGTGCTCACAGGACTGGCTTGTGTGAGTTCAGGGAACTGCAGGTTACCTGCTCCCCAGACAGATGCTGAGGCAGCAACAGCATGGAGCAGTTTAGGGGAACTGTCAGCAATACTCTGTATAATCCTTCTTATTTGAACCATCACAGTACCTAAGTAGTTGAAAAATGGGAGAAGAGATACAACATAGAAATGAGGGAATATATACGAAGTTATGAGAAGTCTAAAGCCAGTGAGTAAAGTAATTTCCACATATGCCATCTCTCTGTGTTACCAAAGAGTTCGCTGTGGTCTCCTCACTACAACCTTAAATAAGGTGGGAGAGGTTACTGTTGCTGGTGGGTTAACATTTCATTCATTACAATCAACCAAAACACTAAAAGCCAATCACTGGTATTAATAACCATGTGTTAATTTAACACATATTTGAAATAAAACCTTTTGCAAGCCACGGCATGATCCATGATTAAATACTGATCAAAAGTACAGAGAGAGATATTAATCTTTCTGTTATAATGATGTGAGATTTGTGATTTTCATGGCTTACCAAACAAAGCCTAGGAAGCACTTAGCAAGCATGGTATGCACTAATTCCGTGCCTTATCCAGGAAGGGTTTCTAATACATTTATAGGTTGTAACAGAAGCTGTCTTTATTTCAACACTGTCAAGTAATATTCATGACTTGCGTTGATATTATAAAGATACATCAATATTGCAGTGAACTGTCATTGTGTTCCTCCTACAAATCAAGGACATTACCATTGAAACTTTACCAGCAACTTCTGTTTTACTTTAATACATGGAAAGATTAAAAGATCACTGACATCATGGCAACTTCCAGATATTTCACATCAATGACAGACACCTCCATTTAGATGGTCACTGTCCATTCTACATCATGGTACCCGTCATCTTCTAATGGAGGATAGATAGAAATGGTTGCAACACAATATGAAAAGGCTAATCTTTAATAAACCATCAAAAACCTAGGTTTGCAAACACACTAGAAACAAAGCATAGTATGCATTGAGTGCTGAATTACATTCACTTCAAATAATCTCAGTTCATGTCATTATAAACAAGCATACATACTTTGCTAAGAATTGGAACGTTCTAACCATCAACCTTCATCTCATGATTCATGCTAATATATCCATTTTCTATGTGTTTAACTATGGAGTACTCCCTACAGTCATTCTCCTGCAGAGAAACTTCAGAAAAGAGGATTGATGACATGCCTTCTAGTATGTGGTCCCTGATATTAATTTCGATTTAACATTTGATTAAATACCTTTTGACATATTTGTTACATCATCTCCGTAGGTTTCTTATATAAACTCTTGTGTTTTCTGAGGCATGTTTAGGGAAAACCTATTCCATCACATGTTCCATTACTAGGGTTTCTCTCCAGTGTCTTCTGAGATGTTTAGCGAGATGACCACTCTGACTAAAAGCTTTGCCACATTCTGTACATTTATAAGGTCTCTCTCCAGTATGAATTCACTGATGTTTAGTAAGCGTTGAGTTGCGACCAAAGGCTTTGCCACATTCAGTACATTTATAAGGTCTCTCTCCGGTATGCACTCGCTGATGTTGAGTTAGAAGTGAGAGACGAGGAAAGGCTTTGTTAAATTCTTTACATTTATGAGGTCTCTCGCCAGTATGAATTCGCCGATGTTGAGTAAGCGTTGAGTTGTAAGCAAAAGCTTTGCCACATTCAGTACATGAATATGGTCTCTCCCCAGTATGGATTCGCTGATGTTTAGTAAGATTAGAACCCTTAATAAAAGCCTTTCCACATTCTCTACATTTATAACATCTATCCGCGGTATGAATTTGGTGATGTTGAGTAAGGGCCGAATTCGTAATAAAGGCTTTGCCACATTCTTTACATTTGTATGATTTCTCCCCATTATGGATTCGATGATGTACAATTAACTCTGAATGACAAATAAAGGTTTGGCCACACTCTGCATAACAATAAGCTTTCTCTCCAGTATGAATTTGCTGATGTTGGGTAAGATGTGAGCAACGGATAAAGGCTTTGTTACATTCTTTACATTTATAAGGTCTCTCTCCAGTATGAATTCGCTGATGGTAGGTTAGAGATGAGTATTGAATAAAGGCTTTGTTACATTCTTTACATTTATAAGGTCTCTCCCCAAAATGAATTCGCTGATGTCGAGTGAGAAGTGAGAGACTATGAAAGGCTTTGTTACATTCTTTACATTTATAAGTCTTCTCTCCAGTATGAGTTCGCTGATGATCCATTTGTTGTGAGGAACAGACAAAGGCTTTGCTACATTCTGTACATTTATGTTTCTCTCCAGTATGAATCCTCAGATGTTGAATAAGACTTGAATTGTAAGTAAAGGCTTTGCTACATTCTGTGCATTTATAAGGTTTCTCTCCAGTGTGAATTCGATGATGTTGAGTAAGAACTGAGTGACGTTTAAACGCTTTGCTACATTCCGTACATTTGAAAGGTTTCCTTCCTGTATGAATTTTCCTATGTTTATTTAGATTGGATGGCTTACTAAACACATTCCCACATATCTTACACTTGTTTTCTTTCTGTGGATTCTGAAGAGTCTGCGGTTGAAAACGTTCAGAAGACTGACTAGAAACCTTACCATATTCAGTACAAGTCCTCTCCAGTGCAAGTACTCTTATCGAGAGAAAAACCTGACATTTGATCAAAGGCATTTCTACATTTATTACTTTTAGAATCCTTGATTGAAGATCGGGTCCCTGATGATTCTTAAGGTCCCTGATGATTCTCCTTCAACGGTATACCCAGGTTCATTGCCTGAATACCTTCTCAGTCCACCAAAAATACTCTTGTAATTATTGGAGCTGGAGCTCTTACTTAAGGTCTGACTCATTTTATTGCACATGCAACAACGTTGTTGTGTATTAACCCTATCACAATATGTATTCAACAATGATGGTTGCGTTGCATCTCTTCCATTATCATCAACATTATATATCTTGGAATGGAGAGAAAATATTTGTTGCGGGAAGAAAAATGAGCCCCTGCTCACGGGTCCCTCAAATTGACTAGATTGTGTGTTTTCCCACTCACTGTTAAATTGCAGGTGTTCAGACATGCTTGAATGTATGTTTAGTCGAAACCTAGGTTCAGAATTGTCTGAATGAGGATTTGCGCTAGAGACTAGATTACCTTCCAGATTTTCCACGTTTCCTTTTAGAGAACATGTATGTTTCAAAAAGGGATGGAAATCTTTTCTTAAACATGTACACGTCTCGGCAGATGTGGAAGACTGAAGTGGGTGTTTTTCCCAATTTGACTCACATTGCTCATTTCTTTTTGCAGTAATGTTAGCATTCTGTGTGACTGTCTCCATTTCTTTATGTCCATATATGCATTCTCTCTGTCTTTCATATACTCTCGTATATTCCCAGGCTTTCATTAAATTTAAGTTTCTGAGTTGAAATATTTGACATATTCCTAGGTTTGCTTTTGGGAATACATCTTCTAATGTTGGATTCTTCGGCATCAAATCCTGGGTGTCCTGTGGAGTCATAGCTGAAAGATACCAAATAACAAATAATTTTACTTGCTATTCTCAGTGAATACCTTTAAAGATTTAGAGAAAATTGATGACCATTAGCTAGTTTAAAAATAAAACAAAGATGGAAGGATCAAGATGCCAGAGGCATAGGCAGATGTGTACATCATCTCTCTCTCCACAAATGAAAGAGAAATGGAACAATTCTCACAGAGCCCAGCTGAACACTAGCAGAGACCCCTCGAAATCTAAAGAAACAAGAAAGATTCTTGCTGAGTCAGGTAGGACAAGAGAAAGGAGAAGGAAAAGAAAGAGGAGAGGAAGTGGGATTGGGCCTGCAACCCTGCGGGGAGATGAAAGTGAGAAGAGGACTCCACATTAGGGGACTCAGTTTGGACAGGAGAGCCTCATTCTCTGTGGAAGAGGACATGGCAACCAGTGTGTGGCAACAGGACAGAGTGAGACCTGCACACGGGGTCCTGACCCCTGCCCTGCCCACCCAGCCTGAGAGGCACGTCCACCACTGCAGACAAGGGCTGGGTGCTGAAATGTGGGACTCAGAGTGCAGACCAAGGCAGAGGATTGAGGATGGCTGTGAGGAAACATCCTGAAGGGATGGGACTGCGGGAGGAGCTCTGCAAATGGGATGCTTGTGGTGGAAGCCTGAACCACCAGAGAGCAGAGTGGCATTGGTGACTGACGCCCAACGAGGAAGCCCATTGCATCCCTTATCCTTTGTGCCAGCTTGCCCTTGCAAGGAACTATGAAGAACTCCACCCACGTAAGTCTTTTGAGTCCCCAGGCACGGCCTCCCCCATCGACCTCCTCCGCAATCAGCAGACTCCTGTGCTCTGGGGCAGCTCAGGAGAAGACAGATGTGAGTTGCCCACATGCTCACATGGAGCTGAAAGCACAGCTGAGCCCAGGGATGAAGAAGAAAAGCTGACACCTCTCCCTGCAGCAACAGAAGCCACGGTCTCACACCCATGACCGGCTGTGTAACCTCAGCCCCTACAGAACATCTGATTCACCTACCAGCGCTCTCTCAGTCACGGCAGGGGTAGCTCTAGCTGCTGTAGACTCTGTGGGCTCCCACACAAGGGGGCTGGGCCAGGACAGAGCCTGAGCTGCCCCAGAGCACCACAGAGGGTCCAGCTCCACGTTGAATGCAATCCCAGGACCTGACTTCACTGAATCTATGCTGGTGACCTTGTGAAAACATCTGCCAGACACCAGGGCCATGTGCCATCATGCCCATGGTTAAGGTGGGGCAAAGAGCAGTGCCTACACTACATCACATGAGAGTCTGCAGAACGCATGAGAGGGGGAACCAGAGCACAGCCTGAGTGAACATCCCCAGAGGAGTAATACTCAGTGACTTTTCTCCATGTGTGGGTGCTCCAGTCCCACCTGCCTCCCGGCACAGATCAGAATCACAGCTAAGATTCAGGTCTGGGGGCTCTATTCCACCATGCAGAGAGCAGACACCACCAGAGAGAGGGCAGTAACAACCACAGAACAATGGGGAAACAGCCCTGAATATCCACAGCAGGCTCTGGTCACAGTTAACAGCAATCAAAACCCAGATCAAGAGGATAAGGGCACAAACCTCGGGACCAACCTCATCCACCAAGGTGCAGACACCAGAAGGAAGACTAACTAGGTTCCTGTAGCCTTCAAAAGAGAGACCACAAACAGAACACTGGACAAAATGAGATGGCAAAGAAATAGGTTATAGGGGAAGAAACAAGATAAAAACCTCTAAGCACCACTGAATTTAGAGGAGTTAGGCAATCTAACGATTACTTCCTGCTTTTAGTCATCTTAAGTGGATACTGCAAACACTTTCACAAATCCTAGGTGCCTAGTAATTCATAAATGGACTTGTTGCCTCACATGTTTCTGAGAATGGTCTAATAGATGCTTCAGTCTAAAAATCATAAGTGATAGTGACAGAGAACTAATCAGAAACTGAGGACACACAAGACAGTGTCTGAGGAAGCTGAATACAAAGAAGATAAACTTAATAAAGTACTAGTTTGAAGGAATAAATAAGAAGAGAGACTTTAAAACTATGACTGAAACAGGGAACTCTACTCATTGCTCTGTGAAGACCTAAATGGGAAGGAAATCAATAGAACAGTAAAGACTAGAGATCTCTTTAAGAAAATGAGAGGCACCAAGAATATTTCCAGCAAAGATGGGAACAGTAAAGGACAGAAACGGAATGGACCTAAAAGCAGGAGAAGATATTAAGACAAGTTGGCGAGAATACATGGAAGAACGATACAAAAAAGATCTTAATGTCCGAGATAACCACGATGGTGTGACCACTCACCTAGGAACAGACATCCTGGCGTCCAAAGTCAAGTTGGCCTTAGAAGGCATGGCAACCAACAAAGCCACTGCAGGTGATGGAACTCCAGCTGACCTATTTCAAGGCCTAAAAGAGGATCATGCTAAAGTTCTGCACTAGATAAGCCAGCAAATTTTGAAAATTCAGCAGTGGCCTCAGGACAGGAAAAGGTCAGTTTTCATCCCAATCACAAAGAAAGGCAATACCAAAGAATGCTCAAGCTACTACACAATTTTCCTTATTTCAAACAATAGCAAAGGCTCAAAATTCTCCAAGCGAGGCTTTAACAGTACGTGAACCGAGAGCTTCCAGATGTTCAAAATGGATTTAGAAATGCCAGAGGAACCAGAGATCCAATTGCCAACATCCCTTGGATCATATAAAAAGCAAGAGTGTTCTGGAAAAACAACTACATCTTCTGTATTGACTACACCACAGCCTTTGATTGTGTGGATCACAAGAAACTGTGGAAAATACCTAAAGAGATGGGAACACCAGACTACCTTGCCTGCCTCCTGAGAAATCTGTATGCATGTCAAGAAGCAACAGTGAGTACTGAACATGTGACAACAGATGGATTCCAAATTTGGAAAGGAGTACGTCAAGGCTGTATATTGTCACCCTGCTTATTTAACTATATGTACAGCACATCATGTGACATACCAGGTTGGATGAAGCACAAATTGGAATCAAGATTTCAGGGAGAAATATGCATAACCTCAGATATACAGATGACACCACCCTTACAGTAGAAAGTGAAAAGGAACTGAGGAGTCTCTTGATGAAACTGAAAGAAAAGGATGCAAAAGCTGGCTTCAAATGCAACCTTTAAAAAACGAAGATCATGGTACTGGTCATACCCTTTCACGCAAACAGTGGGAGAAACAATGGAAACAGTGACAGACTTTATTCTTTTGGGTTCCAAAATCACTGCAGATGGTGACTACAGTTATGAAAGTAAAAGACGCTTGCTCCTTGGAAGAAAAGCTATGAACAACCTAGGGAGCATAGTAAAAAGCAGAAACATTACTTTGCTGAAAAAGGTCCATGTTGTCAAAGCTATGGTTTTTCTAGTAGTAATGTATGGATGTGAGAGTTGGACCATGAAGAATGCTGAGTGCAGAAGAATTGATGCTTTTGAACTGTGTTGTTAGAAAAGACTCGTGAGAGTCCCTTGCACTGCGAGAAGATCACACCACTCCATCCTAAAGGAAATCAGTCCTGGATATTCATTGGAACGACATGGTGAAGCTGAAGCTCCGATACTTTGGCCACCTGATGCAAAGAACTGACCCACTGAGAAAGACCCTGATGCTGGGAAAGATTGAAGATGAGAGGAGAAGGGGAGAATACAGGATGATATAGTTGGATGGCATCACTGACTCGATGGCCTAGATTTTGAGCAGGCTCTGGGACTTGGTGATGGACAGGAAAGCCTGGCTTGCTGCAGACCATGGATCGCAGGCTCAGACTCGACTGAGTGACGGAACTGAACTGACTGATATGTATAATTGGTTCTCTTTGCTGTATAGGAGCACACAATTGGAAAACAGCTATATTCCATTTAGAACTTTTAATAAAGATTTCTTTATATAACCTAAAAATTGTCATAGTTCGAACCAACCATTAATAGTATAGTGGAACATGTGCTAAGAGTTTATGTCAATTTATTTGAAAATCCTATGAGGTAAAAGAATATAATAAAGTATTTTAGCAAGTTATAATTGGATCAAATACACTAAAGATATTTAATATGAGATCATAAAAGTAAAAGAGAAACTTTGAAGTCAACCTGAGATGTGCATTCTTTCATTTTCATGAGGTTTTGCTTTCTGCAGTGACAAATTACTTGAATTTGAAATTTATTTAGAAGGTCCTATGTGTCGCTCCCAGTGGATAGGAAATTATAAACCCGTCCCCAGTATTCCTAGAAGTTTGGCAGTTTGTCTACCACTCCACTCACACATTTCTGTCCAGGGGTAGAGAGAAACTTGAAAAGGACTGTCATACAGTTACTCAGAAATGGGCAGTTTTCCTAGGGCCCCCAAGAAATTGCAGAGCAACTAATGAATGCAGTTTGTCACAAGCCAAGAGGAGACTTTTAGTTCACACTGTGGTGGAGAAAACTAATCACTGGAGATGAATTCATGAATGATTTAAGACACAGAATGGGGCAAGTGATACATTTCTATGACAGTAGCAGACACAAACCCAGGTTTTCAAAAACCATTTCCATTGAAGCAAATCTTCCAAAGCCATGTGATGAAGGATGAGTTCCTCGCTGCTCCTTGGACCACATATCTGAGTCTTCATCTCCATCCTTTCATACCTACCTGGGTACATGGCTGTTGTCTCCATTCTCCTTATATTCCTGAGATCCTTTAATTGCTCCAGAAACGTGATCAGGTCCAGCTTAGAGACAAGCCCTGTTGATCAGAGAAAGGAATATTTGTGTTGTTAGAGGTTCATCAGTATCGAATCCAATATGTATTCAGGTGAGATGAAAATGCATTTTGTCCTAGAAAACATTTCCTGAAATACTTTATTCAAAGCCGCTATACAATACTAACAAACACCTAACAATCAGATCCTGAGATTCCGGCCAACTAGTACTAAGGCAAATTTAAGTAGTATCGATGTGAAATTAAGAGAGGGTGCAACTACTTAATGCCACAAAACTTACACAATTACCACTAACTTATAATGAAGGAGGCAGAGTACCTCAAGGAAGAAAAACATCACCAGCATAACGAATCATCATGAATCATCACTTTTCTTCCTAAACTCACAAATACCCATTTTCCCCTAGAAAGCAGAGACCTGGAACTACTGTGGGAAGCAGAAAATGTCAGAAAACATTCTTGGAATGACAGAACAAAAACCCAGTGGGTGGATAAGGGATTCTAAACGGCAGTTATCCTCACCCAAGGAGGCCAGGTTCCCGTAGTTCTCTAACAACACATCTCTGTACAATTCCCGCTGACCGAGGTCCAGGCATTCCCACTCCTCTTGAGTGGAGTCTATGGCCACATCAGGGAACGTCAGCTGTCCCTGAAATACAAAGTACAGATGCCATGTTGCCGTGGAAGGTCTTCCTAATGTGACCCAAGATGAAAACAGCAAGTTCAGGGACCTTGTCGTGAAGTGCTGGCTTGGCTGGTTAAAAAATATATTTTTACATGGTAATCTATTCTACCCAATTTCTAATGTGAAGATCAGACGATGAGTTATGATCCACAAGGCATTAGAGAAATTACCCTCATCTGGAAGAGCAATTATAAAATCATCTGGGCAACATTAGCATATTTATTTTTCAGTGTTCTACTCGTGTGGCATAGGATAAATTGTTTACCAAAGAAACACGAATTTTTTTTTTTTTAAGTGTATTCTGAGACAAGAGTTCTGAAGTGGGGCCCAAGTGCCACATTTTTAGCACGTTATTTGAGTTAGTAATGTTGAAAATTCTGCTCGATGAATGACGATTTTGAACCGCAATGAAACAGAATAGTAAGGTAAGAATTCATAGTTAAGTTGGAACTTTAATTGTTTTACAGATTTTAATAGGTCGAATAGGATAGTAAATTAAAAGACGCTTAGGTGCTGGCTTCGGCAGCACATATACTAAAATTGGAACGATACAGAGAAGATCAGCATGGCCCCTGCGCAAGGATGACAGGCAAATTCGTGAAACGTTCCATATTTTTGTAAAGTAATTAGCCTTCAACTAATAAAAAAAAAAAAAAAAAGACGCTTAGTTCTTGGAAGGAAAGTTATGACCAACCTAGACAGCATATTAAAAAGCAGAGACATTACTTTGAAAACAAAGGTCCGTCTAGTCAAGGCTATGGTTTTTCCAGTGGTCATGTATGGATGTTGAGAGTTGGACTGTGAAGAAAACTGAGCGCGGAAGAATTGATGCTTTCGAACTGTGGGGTCGGAGAAGACTCTTGACAGTCCCTTGGACTGCAAGGAGATCCAACCAGTCCATCCTAAAGGAGCTCAGTCCTGGGTGTTCACTGAAGGACTGATGCTGAAGCTGCAATACTTGGCCACCTCATGCTAAGAGCTGACTCATTGGAAAAGACCCTGATGCTGGAAGGGATTGGGGGCAGGAGGAGAAGGGGATGACAGAGGATGAGATAGCTGGATTGCATCACTGACTCGATGGACTTGAGTTTGAGTAAGCTCCAGGAGTTGGTCATGGACAGGGAGGCCTGGTGTGCTGCGATTCATGGGGTCACAGAGAGTCAGACACAACTGAGCGACTGAACTGAACTGAACTGAATAGGATAGTAACCTTTCTTGTGGTCTGGGCTTGGGTTGGAAAAGAATTTCCAGACATGAGACAAAATGAGAGAGAAATAAAGTTTATTAGAATGGGGGGACACTGTTAGAACAGCAGGCCAGCTCAAATGAGAACAGATGTTGAACAGGGGTCCTCAGTCCACTTTCATAGCCAGGGTACAAGGAGTGGGATATGGGTCTTGTGGATCATTTGCTGAATGGATGAGGCACATATACTAGGTGGGGGGCAGAGTAAGAAAAATACATTCTCCTTATGGGGTAGGAGGGGAGACAGTTTATGCTGCTCAGGAGGACCTGAAATCCATCAATAGTTACAACATGGGGGAGGGAAAGATGCTAAGGGGTCTTGTTTTTCAATTCCTGCATTCCAAGACCCTCCTTGGTTTTATCTACTCTTTTGTCCCTGGGTCACCACATACCTCCCTGTCTTGATTTTTAGGGCCAATTCTTTGGCCCTTGTTGATACCCTGTTCATGTCTATCTATCTACCCATTTCCCTTCTCACACATTTGGGATTCCAGTTTCAAGGAAAAAGGGGTGATGACCACTCTGGCTTCTTCAGGCTGAACAGGGGTGTCATGGGAATCTGAGTTCCCTTTACCTACTCTGTCAGGGTCCATTTATGGAGGGCGATGAGAGTCCATGGAATGATAAGGTGACTTGTTTCCACATCGTCTAGGTGTTGGTCCGGGAATATTCTTGCATGACCACTTGGACATTTGTGGTATTTTAGAAGAAACAAACTTTACAAGAAAGTTAAAGGTACATGACCCAAAAATGAAAAGAAGTAAAAAAGCTGCTCATAGGCTTGCCAGGAGAACCAGGACTGGACATTGGTTATTGATGTTAGTGCTTCTCTAGGTACAAGAAGAAGCAAGAATTTGGGCTCATAAAATCTTTACCTGAAAGTCTCTGACTATCAGAAGGCCAGTTCTTCTGGGTTTTTCCCAGAGCACAGAGTGCCTTATTTCTGATCTCTACTGTGAACTCCTTTTGGGGGGTGTTGAAAGTCAGGAGCTTGCAGTGGTCATGATGTCATCTTTGTAGAGAGAGCTGGCAGAGTCCAGTCAGCAGGGTCCCTTTGTAGCCACATATTTGACCATGCTTTGGGGACATTTCTTGGCCATTGTGTCCCACAGCACTGGGAAGACTCATTCCCAGGCCTAGGGAAGGTTCCATTGATAGGCCACTCAATGTCCTGTTTCTAGAGCAGGCCTTGTGAGTAGCAAAAGTCTTTGGATCATACCTGTTTTACTAGCCTCTTGGTCCCAGAAAATATTCCCTCTTGTTCCTTCTTCCCATATCTAGAGTTACATTATTACAACAATTAATAGCATATGGACCTGCATATCAACATTTTATCACAGGCTCAGTCACAGATTTAGTAACCTAAGAAACAATCTTCTGAAACAAGCAACATAGAACATAATATAGCTATAGCTAGCAGTTATTAGTCAGGTCATAAGTAAGAATGATAAGTCAAGAACTTTCATTAGGTAGAGCAGTATACCCGAGGTCATCTGACTTCATTTCTTAAATGACTATAATCAGCTGTTAATCTCCTGGTTGTATATCATGGAACATCTAATCTTTATCTGAAAACTGCTTACTGAGATTAGCTTTAGAAACAAACTTATAGTGTCCGTTTCAATAACTTAATTAAATCTTTTAGAAATATAACATAACAAGGAACTATCTCAGAAGTGAGTCTTAGTAAACATTAGACTTTAATTAACAAAACTAGAAACTTAGTTTAACAATGAACAAAGCTTAATATTCAGTGAAACAATTTTTTTTTTTTCTTTATGAGGGCATTAACCCTGTAGCCAGGGAAGGCTTTAATCCATCAAATAAAAATGAGAATTGTCAGGGAGCTGGGAAAAGCCATGCAGCCATCTTGGATTTCCCATAGCACTAACTCTTTGATATACATCTATTGTTCATCCATTTTTAATTCTGCTATTCAGGAGCAGACTATGGCCATGTTTTAAGGACATCAGAATGGCAAAAGTCTAACCATGAGGGGTTGCTTTTTTTAGAAGAAGAATGAGCTTTGTCTACATGTACCATAATCTTAAGTAATGCTTGTTTACTTTACCAAAGTAACAAAAGATTTTAAAAATGAATATAAATCACTTAAAGGCAAAGAAATTCATAATGTCTTCTTGAAAGCTGCATTCTAAGAAAACTCTGTTCTATTAGCATAGAGATTAGACTAAATCCAGTCTGGTACCAGCTTACCAGATAGCACACAAAACTTGTTCATCAGTTAACCTTAGAAAAATCTTTTCCATAAATCATTAAGTAGCAGTATTCTTACAAAGGCATCAGAGTGAAACCATAGAAGGCATGTTTAAATCTGATTAAACTGCAATCGACAATGTAGCTTTGTCATTGCTGTGACTTGTAACACTTTAACAGGATAACTAGAATTATAGTTGACCACATTTTATTAGGGCATATCAGATCTATATGAACTCCACATAATTTTAGGATATCTATATGAGTAACATCCACTATATAGTATAATCTGAGATTTATCACCCATTCAACAGTACTTCCCATGTAATGTAACATGTCCAATGAACTCAGGTAGTTTAATAGCTCCCTGGGGTGTCTCAGGGGCCCTCTGAAGCATTTCAAAGTCAGCTAGAAGTCAAGTTATTTAGGAAGTTTTGTTGACAAATATCAAAAGGGGTTATAACACTCAGTCAGATAAAATCATATAGATCACTCGGAAACATTATATTCACTTAGCCAAAGTAACAAAGAAGATTTCAAAGGTAAACATAGAACAGATCACTTCAGAGGTAAAGAAACTTAAAATCCATCATCAAAGGCAGCTCAACATCTCAAGAAAACTTGTATTTATGAACAAATCTCTTCCCTTGCGGTCCACTTTCCATAAAACCTTCTTATCACTTTCTGTATCCATTACTTTGTTCTCCCACCCTGAAACGGCCACCTGTAAGTCAGACCTACTTCCTTTTCCCTTCATAAAATGTAATTTCATTCCTCATACCTTCTTTACTGAAAATATACACCCTACTTTCCTTAAGCAACCAAGAACTTAAGCATTCTGTACTTTGGTGAACATAAATACCAGTGAAAAGTTCTAAAAAAAAAAAAAAAAAATTCTAGAGAACATCTCAGGATGGCATCAAGCATTATTCATGAATAGTCCAAAATCTCTAGTTTCTCTGTAAGAGGAAGTTAGTCCTTAGTAATGAATGTTTCAGAATCTTCTTTTATTTGGAAATGACCTAGCTATTCAAAAAAGTTCCATCACTTAGTTTAGCACAGCCCTAGAAATACAGGTTACCACAATCTATAGGATGTTTTAGACAGACATTTCTTTTTTTTTTTTTTTTCATTTATTTTTATTAGTTGGAGGCTAATTACTTTACATCATTGCAGTGGTTTTTGTCATACATTGAAATGAATTAGCCAAGGATTTACATGCATTCCCCACCCCGGTCCCCCCTCCCATCTCCCTCTTCGCCCTATCCCTCTGGGTCTTCCCAGTGCACCAAGTCCGAGCACTTGTCTCATGCATCCAACCTGGGCTGGTGATCTGTTTCACCCTAGATAATATACATGTTTCGATGATGTTCTCTTGAAACATCCCAGCTTTGCCTCCTCCCAGAGTCCACAAGTCTGTTCTATACATCTGAGTCTCTTTTTCTGTTTTGCATATAGGGTTATCATTACCATCTTTCTAAATTCCATATATCTGTGTTAGTATACTGTAATGGTCTTTATCTTTCTGGCTTACTTTGCTCTGTATAAT